AGCTTGCTAATCCGTCGGGCTATGTCAGCGACTTTAGTTCGTTTACGGATTTCCTCATTTCTGATTCGATCTCGCAAAGAAACACCAAGCATAGCCCTCTCCATAGTAGTACGAGAGCCCACGACCAAAACCATGTCTCATAGTAATACGGCAAAAACCCTATAAAATCGTTAGATTGTATGATTCTGAACCCGACTAGATGTGTAGTAACGGTCGAAAGTGTAGCAACTGCGTGGGAGGCCATTTCTGCTGTGTCAAAAAAAAAGACAGTCGGTATTATAGCAATACGTCTGATAGTGAAAATATACATAGATTTTATAATTGTATTACGAAAAAGTTTGTTTTCAGACATTTTGCGCGTAGCATATAGCCTGTGCGCATTTTTGAAAATGTCAACAAATTTAGCCGACCTGTATCATAGCAATACGGATAATTTTTTTTTTCAACTTTTTGTATTGCTGCCATGATTACCAAAAACCTGTTTTCAGACACTTTAAGTGTATCAAAAAGTTGTATGATAGAGAAGGTGCTACACTTAATTTGTCTGATATAAATTTTTTGCACATGTGGACAACTTATTTTATCATGTCCAACAATTTTCAGACATATTGCTATGATACCGATCGGTAAAATTTGTTAACATTTTCAAAACGGTCTCAAAATTTAATGCGTTCACATTTCCGTCTGAAAATTGTTTTGTTCGCATCAAATAACCAAAATTTACTAATAAAAAAGATTTTCAGACGTATTGCTATGAGACATTTTGGGTTTGCGCTACACCACTAACGTCTGAAAATAATGTTTCCGGTATCTCAGAACTATCATTCAACTACAGTCTGCAAATCAGGCATATTGCTATGATGCAGTTCGGTAAAATTCTTTGACAATTTTGAAAATTCGGTCAGATCAAACGCTACGCGGAAAATGTCTGATATTGGTATTTTCGAGTTCAGGATAATCGTATCTATCAATTTGATGCGGTTTTGGCCGTATTGCTATGAGACAAAAATTTTGGTCGTGGGTTCTCGTACTATAGCACGCTGTGCAACTTTGAGAACCGTTTATAGAAAACCTGTTTTATCTTTCCCAACAATTTTGATAAGAAGAAAGTGGCAAACCATTAAGAAGCTTACACAAAATGCTATCGCTCCATTTTTTCACTCTTGGGAGTTGGCTCTATGTATTGCACCTTATGTTGATTGTAATAAGTGCGATTTCTGTAATTCCGTATACCAGTTCCTACTTAGTGCGGTTGCGGTTTAACTCTAAGGCCACTTCAGAAACACGCCTTTATAACTGGCCTTCGCTTAGTCAAATCAAGCTTCACTTTTCCTACAGGCCGCTTTGTTGATTCTACTTATTGATAATGGAATTCTGCAACCAGTTGATGTTCTTCTAATTGGTTTTAAGAGCTTCTTTGATGAAACTGTCTTTCCTCTATACTTAGAATTATTTCATCAAGCTACATGTCAGGTTGCTAGTTGTGATATATGTGATATACTTTTCAGCAAGAATTTCTATATCTTAGCTTGGCTTTCTCGTCAAATACTTTTTATTTTATTTATTATTATTCATATTTATATTAATAAAAGTAAAAATAAGTAGCCAGACACTGTCTAGTTCAAATAGACAGTACAAAGGTGTAGGACAGACACGCAATGCCTCGCTAAATGACTGAACAAAAATGGTACCTATTGTCACGCGCTCTTTTATTAGGTACTCAGATCTTCAAAAGAATTTAGCAATATTTAGTCGTAGAAAAAACAATTAAACTCATGGGGTTAGGCTCAGTTCTGCTGAAAAGGCACAATAATTATAATATCATAATATTCTGAGTCTGTGTAAATATTTTTATATTCTTTGACTGAGTTGCACCATCTTACTTTAACTTTAACAAATGTCAAAAGTCTGACATACTTCATACATAAACCTTGTTATAGTTACGGTTAAATTAAGATGGTGCAACTCAAGCTTTGAATATATTTATTGTCACTTAAGCAAATAGTACGCGTTAATTTAGGTTAAAAAGAAAGAAATAAATCAAAATGTTTTATTTATTTGGTTTAGGAGATACCACAGCTTAGTAAACTAACGTATTGTTATGTTGCGCACTAGAAAAATGGAATGATAGATCAATAACATTAAAACTATTGATTAAACTGTTAATCCAAATATTAATTAAAATAATTTACAAATATTGACAATAAACACAGCTTTTCACGTAACAACTTATTTATATCACCAACATAGACGCATGTTCACGGGTAAAAATGTTTAATTTATTATTCGATTAACCAATTTGTTGATTATTCCTGATTCGGGTAAACCCACAGACCCTGAACACATTTAATTATTTACAGTATAATTACGCGCACGGTCCAGTTTGTAAAATATTTAACGAAACAGAAAAGTGTACTTTCAAGTTTATTAATCTTAAAAACTAACGCAAACATTTACGTTATTCGTTTTATTGAGTAGAATAAACGTTTGACACCTCACTTAACTGGAGTTATAGAGTGTATTGAATTTGATAACGTTAAAATTTGGTTTTTACCCGCGCCAGAAGGAGGGTTATGTTTTTACTACTAATTACAAAACGTACATTCTATCTATTCACACCACTTACGAACTCGTAATACGTCAATACGTATTCATCTAAAATGCGAAGAAAATATTTACTTTAGCAGAAGAAACAAAAACATGCTATGATGTGGTCAAGCAATATCTAAAGCGATAACAATAAGCCAAGTGCTTACAAAGAATGGCTCAGTCTTAGTAGAGTAATTTACATAACGCAATCTAGAGTAAGTAGTGTCAATGCCATTCCGTTGCGCCGCAATGAGTCCAATCCGGCTTGATCTAGGTTTGACCCATAAAAACTTCGGCGGGAGAAAGAATGGTTTGGGGGATATCCAGTTATATCCAGTTAGTTCTGTCTCCGCCACGCTTAAACCGTGCTACGAAGAAAGTTTTTAAACCCTCGGCGAATCGTGCCGAATACAAATTCCGAATGAAACTCATCCAATGCGGTCCTATTAAATGCAAGACTGAAATTCTCCGTAATCACTTTGTACTGTTTGAACAATTCGCTAGTAAATTATTCCGTTTTTATTCGAAACTTCAATTGTTTTATACCAAAATTATCTGTAAGCTCTACTCTAGTCAGGTAGAGATTAATCTTTGACTAAGAGCATTACGGTTTTGTTTGATCTTTGTTAACTATTGTCTTTCATTATCTTTTTCATATTATTTTTTGCTATCATAGTACTTTTTTGAGGTCCTTCTTTGATTATAATGTCTGTAGTAGAGTCTAGGTAAGTTGCCTTTTGTTTAACTAACATTTTTTAGGTTTTCAATTACATAATTAAAATATCCATAATTAAGATTATCTGCTTTAAAGTAGACTAGTGAACTTTATACATAATTCACGTAAGGTTGTTTTTGTTATCTATGAACAGGGTTAGAAAGTTGGTTCCAGACAGCGATTTATTTTCGCTTCTCGATTTTAATGCCTTTTTATTATGGCTACATAATGTCACAATATTGCAGTGGTTTGAGTAAGAAATTACTCAAACCATTGCAACGGCTTATTCACATTAAGATTGCATTAAACTAATCTTGAGATATTCCATAATTCTATTGCAAAAGCAGTTGTATTTGGCCGTATTGCACAACACAATCAGGTCCGATGCTGATTGATGAATAAGCTAATATTGATTCACGGCGTGTGTATGCTTAAGCCGACAATGAAGATACATTAGCAGCGGGGGAGCGGCTTAACTTCCCGGTAGAGCCTGATTGTTCGTGTTCGAATACGGAACTCTACCGAACTTGCAACTTTGCACACATTGTGTTACTAGTTACAATCCGAAAACATACCTACTCACAAAATGTAGTGTGGTTTTGGAAGTCGCTGAATTATGATTAACTAGCTTTTGCCTGCGGCTTCACCCGCGTGAAATTTCGTTTGTCACAGATCATCATAAATTATAGCCTATATGTTAATCTGGGTTATAAACAATAATACTGTAAAGTTTCATTGAAATTCGTTCAACAGTTTTTGCGTGAAAGAGTAACAAACATCCAGACATCCAGACATCCAAACTTTCACATTTATAATATTAGTAGGATGATATCAGATTGTATAATCTGATAACATACCTGTATAGGTACTATTGATACTTATGCTGAATTGCACCAACGAACTTTAACCGTAATTATAATGATAACCGATGTTTTTTCTGTGGAGTTTGAAACATTTTTGACGTATGTTTAAGAAAGTAAGATGGTGCAACCCAGCCTTAGTATTTAGTGCATTTGACTGTTCTTTAGACTAATTTAGTCTTCAACTTATCAATAATTATTCATTCAAGCATCAGAAAATAAACATTTTAAGTGTGATTAAACAATAAACACTTCAAGTTGCAAAATTATTCTGTCTGCTCCAATAGTGCTGAAATATTCATCAGTACTAAGAATTATTTTCATTCCAGACTACAAATATTTGTTTTATGAATATTCTTATCCAACTTATTTAACAATCATCAATTAGCCAATGGCGATCCGTTGCTAGGCTCCTTCAGGAGTACTAAGAGCTCTGTCGCTTTTACAATCACAGTTAATTAGTTATCGTCTGTCCTTGGAGTTATCACAGATTAAATTTGCTGAGAGATTATAGTTAGAAATTATATTTCATAAGCTTAAGATAACGTCGCTCCATTCATCCCATAGTGTTCAAGGCTTTATTATGACTTCATTCAGTCTTTAATTTTTAAGCTTCATCCACACCAACGCATCGCCATCGCTGGCGTGATCATAGGCCAATGACAGGTCGCGCGACCTGTCATTGGCCTATGATCGCACCGTGATCGCGCCGGCGATGGCGATCTGCGCGCGTTGATGTGGTTGAAGCACTATTTAAATAAGAACTGTTCCAACAACTTATAATATTACTATGTTTTTATTTAATGACCATTTGACTTAAGATTATTTTGTTTCAGGTATCCTGGATACGAAAACGGGATCTGCACATCCTAACAGTGGGTGTACATACGTATAGCAGCGACGCGCGGTTCGCGGCGCTACACGCGGACGGCTCGGACGAGTGGACGCTGAGGGTTGCGCCGGCGCAGCCGAGGGACTCCGGCGCGTACGAGTGCCAGGTGTCCACTGAGCCAAAGATCAGCTTGTCTTTTCGCCTAACAGTTGTTGGTAAGTGCATTACTTAATCATAAATAATATAATTTCAAGGCTTCAAGTACCCATTTGAAAAGAGTAGGTACTTACTATGTGTCTACTGAGCCAAGGATCAGTCTTTCGTTTCGGATGACAGTTGGTTTTAAGTACACTCAATTAAAGTTATTATAATCTAGCAAAGTAGTGGGAAATATGATTTGTGTGAGAGAAAAGTTTGATAGAGATGTACGAGTACTATATGCCCACTGAGCCTACGATCATTCCGTTGTGTCGTTTCGACTAACATTGTTGGTGAGTGCGCTAAGTTACTTAAAATTGATAAATTCGAAGAGCTGGGACTTGATAAAAAAATGTTTGATAGTGGGGGTTGCCTGCTGAAAAAAGGATATCATTTTACTCAATTTGTTCGAAATTTGTTAAAAATTTGCTTACGTTGGTAAAGTTTGTCCAAGATAAGCAACAGTCCCTAACCTACCCTTCACATTGGTTTCATTTCTTCAGAAACCCTCTAAGATCCGTTGCTCGTAAAACAAACAAACTTTATTTTAATATTGTAAACTCCGGTAACAATAACTCCAATATGCTAATGCTATTAACTTGGTATTTACAAACAATATACTAAAACAATACACGAGCCATCAAGCAAACACAGCACCTACTTGAGTCTAAGACCGAGTTTTAATGTATTCTCATAAATTGTTTGAAGTTAAGCCCTAGAGAGCTCTCTCTAAAACTATAGCCATTCGGAAAACTAGCTCTCGAGCGGGAGTAAATTATATGGAAATGATAGATACGCGCTGAGGGCCATTTACAAACACTGTGCTATTGACACGGTATTTTATATTTTCTAATAGAATTTCGTGCTCCTTGGCTCCGTAATATGCCTAAAACGGTGAAGCTTTAATTTAAATTCAAGAATACATTTATCTGTTCTGTTACTAGCTACTAATAAATTTATATTCAACCAATCAAAGGCTCAAATTAATTCAGCGTTGAGCTTAATTTCAACATCATCATCATCATCCACCATTTAATCTCCACTTCAGGAGTACAACCCTCTCCGACTTACCGGAGGGGACTTAAATAGGGGATTTGTTGGCCTACACTCCCCACGCTTTGGCCAGACGGGTTGGGAAAGAATTAATTTCATAATACAAACCTATCACTCCCTTTATAATGGTTCGGCCATTCTAAAAAGCTTATCCGGCAGTAAGTCTAAAAACCGCAGAATTATCCCAAATATTTAACTTGATTTACGCAAAAGAAAATGTTGATTTTAGCTTTACGTAATAACACGAACGCGACTGCCCTCGGTTAGGTCGATTAGCAAAGATTTCTGTTGAATACCGTTTCCCTAAAATACACAATGAACTTTACTAGGCTACCGACTACAAAGTTATGCATGTCTCAAACGAAACTGCCCGCAATGAAGTCGAGTATGTTTTAATTTGTGATTGGCATTGTTCTCTCTGCTATACCATATTTCATTGAGCGAGATCGGCATGTCCCACTTTCCACACGGAATAAATTCTTACAAAAACTTATGTAGGTCAGTATATTAATGGCCGTCGCTGGTGTAATGACAAAAAAACTACATATTGTTTACAAGGCTTACCCTCACTCGCCCCGCATAAACTATCTGGTAAAAGTTTGGGTCCCGAATATTTAATCTCAACTAGAGCCGAAATTGTTGATGCATGCAGCCTGTCGTCGTTTCAAACTAAAATCTGAAGGCAAAACATGGACTCGTATGTCAAACTTTCACGTTAATATTTCTTTTTACCCAACTGCGGGAAACCAAAAGGAAGGGTCATGATTTTAGCAGTCTTTACTTTGTATGTCTCTGAAGGCGATACGGTAGAGAGAAGTTCATTTATAATAGGTACTAGCGGCCGCCCGCGACTTCGTACGTGTGGAGCCCGTTTACCCCCTTAGGGGTTGAATTTTGCAAAATCCCTTCCAAAGTCTTAGTGAGCACCCCGTCTTAGTGAGCACTTACATTCTAAAAGGAACCCCCATGCGAAATTTGAGACTCCTTGCACTTGCAGTTTCCAAGATTTCGTGATGAGTGAGTCAGTCAATCAGTGACCTTTCGGTTTTGTAGATATAGATAGATTTATAGTACAGACGACTGCACATCAGACTATTAGGGTTCCGTCTTCAAAAGGAATAAACGGAACCCTTATAGGATCACTTTGTTGTCCGTCTGTCTGTCTGTCAAGACCCTTTATCTCAAGAACGCGTGGACGTATCAAGCTGAAATTCACATGAAATACTCAGATCTATTGTCCCTTTAAGCTGTGAAAATATCAAACTTCTATACCAAGCCAATCAAAAGATACAGCCGATTATGTCGATATTTTCAACAAATTTTCGACACTCGCAAAGGAATCAAAACCTACAGGATACTTCCCGTAAACTCAGAATCTTGAAATTTGGCATGAAGCATTGTCATATAATGCAAATATAGGAAAAACTAGCGGCCGGCCGCGACTTCGTACGCGTGGATCCCGTTTTACTCCCTTCATCTATCTTGAGCGGTTTAGATTTTTTCATACAAAGGTTTTTTCCCGCTAACTCCCGTTCCCGTGGGAATTTCGCAATATCCTGTTGTAACTAACCTTTAAATTTACTAAGGGACCTGCATGCCAAATTTCTAGCGTCTAACTTAAGCGGTTTAGATTTTTCATACAAATGTTTTTTCCCGCTTACTCCCGTTCCCGTTAGAATTTTGCAATATCCTATTGTAACTAAGCTTTAAGTTAACTAAGGTACCTGCATGCCAAATTTCAAGCGTCTAACTTAAGCGGTTTAGATTTTTCATACAAAAGGATTTTCCCGCTAATTCCCGTTCCCGGGGGAATTCCTAAGTATACTGTAACCTGCCCAGGAGTATGAAGAATAATTGTACCAAGTTTCGTTAAAATCCGTCGAGTAGTTTTTGTTTCTATAAGGAACATACAGACAGAAAGACAGACAGACAGACAAAAATTTTACTGATTGCATTTTTATCATCAGTATCGATCACTAATCACCCCCTGATAGTTATTTTGAAAATATATTTAATGTACAGAATTGACCTCTCTACAGATTTATTATAAGTATAGGTAATGTTTTACTACATAATGAAAACGCTCTACATATTTAGCGACATAATTATATCAATTCATTTTTACTCACAACACTGAATGATCGTTTATTTTCAGTCTCTAATTACAATGTTATAATTTTAGTTAAACTGCATTGTTCGACATCCAACTCGTATGAGCGACATAAATAAATTGTTGACCCGCCATTATTCACGCGATACCCAATAACGATAACCTATCAGTGTTTTGTAACAGATTATTTTGCCCGCAGTGTCAAAGGCCGAAATCCTGTCCGGGCCCGAGTTGTTCGTCCGGGCTGGTTCGGACATCAATCTCACTTGCGTCGCCAAACACGCGCCGGACCCACCGAGGTGAGAATATTATGCGATCAAATGGAAGTATCACCTGATCAAAGAGAACGGCTAGCTCAGATTATTCGTTCATTAGGATTGCCGTCAAAGCTTTGAGCAGATGAAGCGATTCGCTGGTCGATCTAGTTTAAGGGCATACGCAGTTGGTTTCGATTCCACAGTTAATGAACATGATTCTTTGAAGAATAAATAAATAAATAAATAATAAATCTTTGGACAATTTCACACAGCGCCAGCTAGCCCCAAAGTAAGCAACTTAATGCTTGTGTTATGGGTGCTAGCTTAACGGATATACTACTTATATACTTTATTTTTTTTAAATACATAAGTATTATACATAGTCACACCCAGACCCGTCACAGAAATTAAAATTCATCATTTCAATTTCTGCCCGGCCGGGAATCGAACCCGGGACCTCTCGGCATAGTAGTCCGTTCTGAACCACTACACCAAACGGCCGACAAATGAACGGCCGAAAAACGAATGATCTGAGCTTCCTGTTAATTTTACTAAACTTTAATAACGTGATGTACTACAACAAAATTGACAAAAGAGAATAAACTACTAAAGGGTACTCGGATTTGTTTACTCTATGATTATTTATAAAAATAGCTTTTGAGGTAGGTAAGTGGTTCTTAATGGAAACTCTAAATGGATCTTTGTACCATATTCAAGTCACAGACTAGCCCTAAAGACATCTCTTTGTCTTGAACTAATTAGACACGGTAATGTGAATGCAGTGATAAGTCGTTACAAAGCTTAGCAATACTATCGTCCCCATACTACGGCTATTCTATTTCTATGGGCTATGTGTTGTTAAGCAAGATTACCCCGGCTCAAACACTCGACGCCTTTATGCCGCCATAGAGCTTTCAGTAATTGAGGTCTAATGAGCCGCACTCGAGAGCTGAACTGGTTTTTCTCTTTGTTCTGTGGCCACGGGGTCTGCTCGGCAAAACGATAACTATTTATTTCTGTGACCGTCTCTCTCATTCACGCTGACACCCCAAGGTGAGTGAAAGAGCCGAATATATCGATGTGCTTTTCGGAGTAGGGCCGCTGACTAAAATGCTGCGATGGGTTCATTTATTTGCAGCGTCAGTGCGGACCGGGCTGCGGTAAAAAGCCGATTAACGTGGTTAATACGAGTATTTAACTGGCGCTTTATGTAATTTTTGAATTCTACATGTTACTTTACATTCATTTTACCATAGTGAGCTTATTCAGCGTTTTCCTTTCCATATTGCAGCCTACAGCTTTGTGGCGGCTGTGCTTTTAATGATTATCAAAGTGAAGCAGCCCCCGCTTGGTTTGTGAATGCATAAATTATATTCTGACCGTATTTGATGTTATACGGCATAGAGTTTTTTACAAGTAAGTATAAAATAAAATAACAACCTACTTAATAGTAAAACGTATTAAAACATCATAAGATTCCCGACACGTGATTACAAATGCTTAATACGTTTCCAAAAACATTTCACATTTCCGTAACAACACAAACGACAGCTGAAATGAGAGAAATGTGTCAAGATTCGAGGTATGAAGACAAATCGCTGAAACCATTTAATTAATTAAACAAATGACTAGTTGTCTCGTTATTTATTCGCCCGTTTCGCCGTTAAATAACGCTCTCCAATCACTTGAGAAAAAGAATGGGCCACTCCAAAATCTCATTATGAAACTTAACAAGACGTTTTCGCGATGTAATTTCAAAGATTATAAATAAAGGAGAACATTTCTCTGGTTGTTCACATTGGGTGGACCTAGCGACATATTTGGGTCACGCTACGTGACGTGAGTGTAATGAGACCATTCTGATAGAGCGGTTTCAGACTAGCGTTTTTTACAAGCGTAAAAAAGCTCGTCTTTGGGAGCACATGTAGGTGCGTATAGGCTCACCTTTTTCCACACGCAGTACTTGGAAGAATGTTGACGAGCTTAATAATTGTCAAGTAAGCTCTTAGAAGCGCGAGCCGGTAAAGACACCACTAGTCTACTAGCGGTTCGAGAGCACACGCCGTATAATGTCCATGTACCTATGATCTGAGGTCCATGTACGCAAGTCTGGTTTTACGAAGCGCGAAATACAGCGCGCGTGTAAACGCGTATGCTGAAAACGACAAAAACAACAAAACGCTAGTCTGAAACCGCTCTTAGGGCTGGCCAGTGGCCACTACCTTATAAATGGTAAACTTGTTTAAAGCACTTCGCGTTCTTTACAAGAAACGCTTTTGATTTACTAGGGCTGAGTAGAGTGGTTTCTTAACTTTAATGCCGCGTTTTAAACACTATTTTTTTGAACTTGAATTGATGTAATCCTCTGCTAGATAAGTAATTTGAATAAGCTTGACTTAATCTTAATTTGTATGGCATATTTAAACATAAATGTCTAGTCTACTTAAATAAATATAAAGCCGTAGACTTTAGGTTTCATAATTTAAACAAAACTTAAGTAACTATTTCTGAACTTTGAATGTAAATTCCTTGGTAGTTATTATTATGAATAACTTGAAGACGCTAATTCTGCTTTAAAATTTTATAGTCTATTTGAAAAAAACAGGTTCTAATTAAATACCTACATTATACATATCTAGTCCTACCCAAACATTTTAATAGTTTAAGATGAAAGACATCTAACGTGGTACGGTGAAATCATTATCTGAAGTCTTGAAACTGCACATCGAACTGAGAACATATAAATGACTTACCTATGAGACTTGAGTATTTCATAAACTTGAAAAAAGGTCTCACTATAGCCAATACCTTTTTCTTTTAATATGTAAAACCCCAAAACCGAAATAGATCTTGATAATATCTAAGATAGTTATTTAATTTTTAGCGTTAAGAGTCGCATCTCAAACTAATTTGAAAATTATAAATAACTTGAAAAAATCGAACTGAATTCCCGCCTTAGGCAGTTCGATTTTTTCAAGTTATTTATAATTTTCAATATCTAAGATTTTAGATAGATAGATAGATAGATACCTACTGGTGCACGCGGTATCGTAACTTGAATAGACGGCCCCGTCTTTCAGCTCCGGCTGTATAATGGAAGTGTGTTATCGTGTACGTACCTTTCACACCCGCACCTATACATTTAGTCTTCGCATCCATAAACATGATAAGCTCATTTTCAGATAAAAGGGTCGGCTGGGGTCCCTAAGTGAGGCATTCTTTGACTATCACCGTTTAATGGGACCCTGTGTCTGAGATCTCTTGGCTGGGGACCTTCAATTTGAATATTGATAGGATGATACGCTTCGTGTGTAGAGATGACATTTTTTATTCAGGTCAACCCATAAGTTATGTATACCGAGCCCCAGGCGTATAAAAGTTATAAAATAATGTTATATCAGGTCCCTACAATAGCGCCTCTAAATCCAATTTTATTACTTATTGGTGTTTTGAAAGTATGAATAGCGTGATAAAAACACAAGCCTTAATACGTTTTCTGTGAAGATTTTAATATAGTATTTTTTATCATCCCTAGTCTTTTTGATTTACATAGACCAGTACTATATCGTTAGTGATGTGGAATTATATATATTAATAGTCGGCCGTTTGGTGTAGTGGTTCAGAACGGACTACTATGCCGAGAGGTCCCGGGTTCGATTCCCGGCCGGGCAGAAATTGAAATGATGAATTTTAATTTCTGTGACGGGTCTGGGTGTTACTATGTATAATATGTATGTATTTAAAAAAAAAGTATATAAGTAGTATATCCGTTAAGCTAGCACCCATAACACAAGCATATTAATTGCTTACTTTGGGGCTAGATGGCGCTGTGTGAGATTGTCCAAAGATATTTATTATTATTATTTATTATTTATACCTACTTATGTGTATCACGATGAGTCTTCTAATGCCATCGGTTTTTTAATGATATTCACGGGCCTGAACCAAGTGAATACCAATTCAATATAACTTAAATATAAAAATGTATTAAGGTCTAATTACATCTAATTATTTGACTGTAAAAATTTCCGGACAATTCTGCATGTGTTTAGAATGCTGGCCTTTTGTAGTTGTGTGGAAATATAATCGGGTAAGTCCAGGCTTCTGAGTGAATGACGGGGTAAGCTGTACTGGAATGACTCCTGTTGTGGACAGAACTATAGGCACGATACTTACTTTATTTAATCTCCACATACGAGTTATCTCGTCCTTAAGGTCTGGATACTTTGAAATTTTTTCCGCTATTGTTTTTTGTAGGTTGTGAGTATTAGGGATAGCAATGTCGATCAAGTGTGCAGTTTTATTGATTTTATCGATGAGGGTTATGTCTGGCCTGTTAAAATGTACTGTTTTATCAGTAAGAATCGCGCGGTCAAAATATAGTTTATGAGAAGTGTTCTCCAAAACGGTTTCAGGGTTGTACTTGTAATATGGGGTGGGTGGTGAAGTTATTAGTTTATGTTTCTGGGCTATTGCTTGATGAATTATGTTTGCAACCTGATCATGCCGGTGTTTATAATCTGTTTGAACTATGGCCTTACATGCACCTGTGATATGTTGTATCGTTTCCGGAGAACTATTGCATCGTCTGCAGCTATCAGTTTGTCAGTTTGGCACCTTCATGATGTATCTTTGGTAATTACGAGTTTCTATAACTTGGTCCTGTATGGCTAGAGCAAATCCCTCCGTCTCTGGAAATAGCTCTCCTCGCTTCAGCCACTCGTTCGACGCTTTATAGTCGACGTTAGTGTGGAGAAGATCTTGGAGATGCCTCCCATGGAGAGATTTCCTTATCCATTCCTGTAGTTTAGTGTCTCTGTGGGTCTGCTTTTCACTGTTTTGTGCTTCTTGGTCTTTTAGGTTCAAAGGTGTGAGCTTGCAATCATTGTGTGAGATAAGTCTATGTAACGATGATGTTTCTGATTTATTGTGGAAATAGCTACGTAGGTTAGTGATTTGTTTTGCGTATAAATTAGCTATATCTATAAGGCCCCTACCTCCATCTATCCGTGGCAATGTCAGGCGCTGAACACATGACCGCG